ACATGTTTCTTATAGGTTTTCGACAATGCTCTTTCCAGTGGCATCGTTTTTAAATATTGAGAAAGTTTTCTGAAGGGTTTTCCAGAGACCGGATCTCTGGAAAACTCCTTAGAAAACTTTTTCAAAAGCTAACTCTCATGCCATTCGAAAGAGGATCATGAAAAACCTATAAAAAAATGGTTCATGAAATTTTATTTCGCTCATAAAGCTAAAGTCCGCCTGCTCAAGCAAAAAATGCCCACTGTGCTACATGTCGAGAATTTTGTGAAAATTTTTTTTTTATAAAAAGTATTGATGTATAATTTTCAGAAAGAGTGACACACGATTGTTCAGAAGAATTTCTGGCGAACATCTGACATGGGGACTCACTAAATAACGTAATCACTTAGCAGATTCAAAATAAAAATTAAAACGTTCAGAATTCAATCGTTAATTTTACTAGTAGATAAAATGGTAGCTGTGTGTGATGTCCATTGCTGCTTGATGCAAATGCTAATATTCTATTTCTTATTTTGTCGATTAGCAATGATCTATTATAACATCGTTGAGATAGAACAGTGCCCGGCATTCTGATGCGTGGATCATTCTTAGCATCTTTTTCTTTAAAAAACGGGCGTTTTGATCCTGACGTAACTCGATGTTCTATAAGGATTATTATCAGTTTTCCAATGTTTGAAGGTACACTGCCTATTATAGTTTTGATAAACAATTGTACCCTCGACAATGAACACGCCAACAATACCTGTTAACACGATGACAGATTGTTTTTGTTACTGTTTATCGTGCGTCGACTGTCAACTATTTAGTTACTGGCACAATTCTTCTGAATATCAGTTAATCACAACTGATACAAAACCGAATATTATCTCATTTCAAACGATAGATAATGAAACAGGAGTCTATGTTCTATCGAATGAAACACTGCGGTGTATATAGACTAATGAAGCTTCATTTGTTTATAATTTGACATTTTCAGACAAATATCTTGTATCTGCACACTATCTCACTTATCTTGAATTTATCGAAAACTCGAATCAGTCTCAACTCTTTGCGGTCAGCAATGCTCGTAGTTACATCTGTACAATAGACGTTTCACCGTTTAAGATCGTGAAAACCAGCACAATAGATCCTAATTGTTCAATTGCAGTTTGTTCATGGTCACAAAATGGTTTAATCTATATGGGATATTCCAATACTGATCAAATAATCGTTCATAATCAGACTGATTTTATCATATGTACGCAATTATTCGACTATTGGACGAACGTATCTAACATTTTTTAATTCATTAATGCTCTATTATTTATCATATTCTGGTAATATATATTCTTTAAGTCTGATGAGAAGTGCTATAACTTATATAAATATTATGGAAGGTACATTATATTATTAAATATTTTAACAGTTACTCAAATCCTTTTTTTTATTTAAATAACTATTTGTACGCGTCATCTTCTAACGGTACATTATACCGCTTTTCACTATCAATGAGCTCGACTACCAAGTCTCAATCTTTATCATGTGCAAGTTTTCCAACGTCATTGTTCATTGACGAATGCGCTCAATTATGGGTATCGTCTAATTATTATATTAAAGTTTATGATCAAGATTTAAATCATTTAATGGATATATCTAGTCAATTCAATTATACACCCAACATGAGAATTATAATATGTATATGGCATACTCTTCCGCAGGAATTTTGCGTTATCGACGAATTCAAGGATGTTAAATCCCACTTGCTTCGAGCTGACTAAAAGTAATGACAAATAACGTTATTTCTAAAACTAATGACGGTGCGACAGACAACTTTCTTACGTTATCATGTGCAAAGTGGCTGAATGCTAATGACACCCATTTAATAATACACATCAATTGTCATGTTTTACTTCATCATCGAAGTTTCTTAATTACCATGTTTATACTTAATTTATCTGATGTTTAGTCAGTAATTTGTCGAGTTGTTCCTGTATAATTGACATCTATACCTATCTTGGATGTTATTGCTCACGACACCATCAATTACCATAATCAGTCTCTATTATCAAATCGTCATATATCAATAAATGTATATGACGTATGATAAATATACCACTACCATCTAGAAGGGTCTGATTTTCACAATTATGATTTTGGAAAAAACTGCTGATTTTTTGGGGAAAGATTATCTTTAGATATTCAGACCGGTCGCCAAAAGTGAAGAAAACAAATCGATATACAATCATAGCGAAAGAAAAGCAGAAAAGCTTGCTTTTCTAGCATACATTTAAAATGTGTATTTTTCTGAAAAGGTAGAAAAGCACAAAAGCTTGGTTTTTTCCAGTATAAATTGAAAATATGCATTTGTCTGGAAATTGGGAAAAGGGAAGTCGGAGATGAGATGAGAGTGAGTCCCTCCCTGATATTCCCCACCGTGAAAGAAAACAGAAAGATACCTGAAGATCTTAACATCTGAATATCTAAACATTTGAATATCAGAATATCTGAACATCTACATATTATATAATTGCAGATGTTCACAAATCAGATCGATCTCCTACCATCATCTAATACGTAGTAAATATCACCAATAACCCTTTTCTACCCTTCTACCACACAAGTAGTGCTAGTACGATCATTTTTTTAGCTTGACATGAACATCTATAAATAGTCTTTCACTTAAAAAGATTCTAGAACAAACTCATAGATATGATGAATTGTATTGAAATATTAAGAAAAATATATTAAATGAACTTGTTACTGTTTATACATTCCATTATTTATTTTATTGATTCAGAAACGATTAAACGTTTTATTCATTATAATTTTTATATCCGTTTGTTTGTTATTTTATAAAAAGAATAATAAAGTGATTAATTAATAATGTAAGTTAGCTCGATCATGAGTATCATGATGCTGTTATAAATACATAAATTCAATGATAACATACGGCATCCTAGAAAATGTTTTAAAACGCTCTAATACACATTCTAAACACATGGTGAATATTCGACACATGACTGAAGACATTTGAATCGTTAGATCGAACAGCTAAATACAAAGAAATTAAATATAAAGGACTGAACTGAGAATGACTAGTGAACAACTGTGTTACATATCAGCACCAGTGTTGTAATACGAATAGAGTTAAACACGCTAAAATCATCAATGTTTAAAAATAACTGCAACATACTACATGAAAGAAAAAAATATTCTATTTTTTTTGTCTATACACGATTATGATATTTTTTTTGCCTTGCTAGGTGAACTACACATGGTTTTATAGTAGATACATGCGGTCTATGGATTGTATAACGTTTTTCTTAGTTGTTAGTAGTAGCTGATACATTCATATATTTGGCACGTAAAAACATTCACAAAACATATGTATACAAAAAAGCAGGTCTATACACATAAGAATATAAAGACAACAGAACTTGAGTTTAGATATATTTATGTTGAATTATCTTTGAGCACGTTGTCCACATCTCGTCTTTCCCATATCTAAATGATTTTAACATTTTATAAACAATCTTAAATGTTTACATTATATACATACTTGGACATAAGATTCACTCAGCGTAATCATTTGAGGTAATACATCAATGACATGAAGATCTTGCATTTCATACCAAGTACCAGTACCCTGTAAAAATTCAAATAAAAAAACTGTCTTTACAATGCAAACGGATAATGCGTACTTACTTTGTGTAGAACATGAACACGGTATGTGCCTTTTCCTGGTTCACCATCATGAACAACATTTGATATCAAATCATAGACTGTTGACGTATTTTCTGTAGCTTCTGCTGTCACTACATCTGGAGATAACAAATCTCGAAGATCAACATTTCTACAAGACAATAAACATAACTATTTAGTCAATGACTGAATGTTAAAGTAAGTCTTACTTGATTGGAAAATTAACTATTGTTGGATTTTTTTCCAAATAAAACGTATTTTTTGTAAAGCGCTAGCAAGAAAAATGAACACATTTAAAACAGACTGTTTAAAGTTAAAATAAAGACATACCCTAAAGCACATAATTAAATATAATGGTAATTTTGTTATTTCATAACGTTTTAAAAAATTTTCTTTATATGTTTTATATTCTCTAGCCGTTTGTCCATCAAATTTTGTTAATATTTGAAATAATGGTACTTGTGGAATAATACTTTCTTTTGTTTCATCACGAAATAATGGTGGTGGTGGTAAATCAACTGATAGAAACAAATACGGCGTTTCTTCATCATATTCTGCGAAAAAAAACAATGCAAACAATAACTAATCTATTAGATAATATGTCATTTGGTTCTTACCATAATATTCTTCTGTGACCAATAGTTTTCGTTTTTCATCTTCACTCTAAAATAGTATAAACATGAATAAGTTAATAGGAAATTTGATATGCACTAACATCCAAAGTAAATTTGACACAGTTTACGCTTTCATCTAGTGTCCCGATATCGCTATGTAGCCTTTCTTCCCATCTCCTTTCGAGATATGGACTCAGATTATATTTGCTTACCAAATCAATGGGCGGTATTTTTCTCGTGTAAACTTTCATTTTTCCTTGAAACGCTTTATAAATAATACTACTATTTGGATTTTTTGTTCCATTCAATGTTAAATGTAAACTATTTAGAAACCATGCCAAAAATTCAACTGGATCACCTTTAGAAAGAAAAAAGAAGCACAACAATAATTATTCTAATGTATAAATAATAAAAATGTTACCCTGTTGCGTTATTTGAAATTTCTTTTTACTACATTTGACAACTGCTTGTAACATCTCATGTGGCGAAACGTGCGCTTTAAAGTTCTTAGGATTCCATAATTTTCTCACTAATTCGCCAAAACGTTTGACCAAATTGACCATAATATCTCCTGGTGCAACTCTAATATTTGCATAATTTTCCTCTTCAAGAAAAAAATTACGTAGTGGACTAACATTGATCAATGCTTGCAAAATAACATTACAATAATCATTTGCTTTTATATTATTAAGACCAACAATGCCTAAATAAAAAAAACAAGTAAACATTTATAATTAAATTAATCAAATAATTATTCAATAAGTACCAGGCAAATATAATGTTCCATCATAGGCACGAACTAATTTTGCATTTTTATCCAATTGTTGAATATGTTCTTTTGTATACGTTGGATCTAGAACATACTTAAAATACAAAAACAACACAGATGAATATTGTATTTTAAATATATCATAAATTACCTTGATATCATCTAGTGATGAATCGATTATTTCATAATTATCGGGCAAACAATAAAATTGTAATGTATGTAAATTAATAAAAACATGATGATCAGTTTCAACACTATGAGTATAAGCGTACGATTTTTGTCCACGACCTTAAATGAATATAAAACAACAATTTGACATTATTTACTCATTGTTCAATCATTAAACGTACCTTGAAAATATTTTGCACATACTAAACATGCATAAACATTATTATTTGACAATGTAATTGAGCATAGTTTTTCAAAATCAAAATCAAGAATACTTCTAAAAAAGCAAAAAAAAAATCAGTATACAATACGTTAAGACAAAATATTTGGCCTATCTACAGTAAAACCTCTATTATTGAACATCTCTCTAAAGTAAACGCCTCCATATTATGAACGCTCTCAAGTCTGATGGAGCGATTTTTGCGAGAAATACACCTCTCTAATGTGAACACACGTGCAATGTCTCTCTCTACCATCTATCATCGGTCTCTTATTTACTAAAACTGACTACACTCTAGGTACTACAGTTGACTATTGTACGCATGATAAAAAAGAATGACATCGTCACACGAGCTAATTTTAAAAGCAAAAATTGAATTAATTAATGATAATAAGGATGGTAAAGAGATGAACAATAGAAGCTTCATGACTAGCGTAAAAGTAGACAATCTAAAACTTTTTCTTCATTTCACAGTGAAACATGTATCACCTCTCTCAAGTGAACATCTCCCTATAGTGAACGCTGTTGAATAGTCCCGATGGTGTTCACTACAGAGAGGTTTTACTGTAATTACATCGAACAAAAACATTGACGATATAGGATGGTTTTTTAACGAATTACTGAAGCAGACAAACAGTTATATAGCTGGTAACCAGTTATCATACACACTTATGGTATTTTAGATTGTCCTTATTTATGTCATAATTAAGTTTAAACTTTTTCTCTTCCAACAAATATATAAAACATACGTTTCTCTGCAAAATGAGATGTTTCACAATTCAAAACAATTCTTAACAACCGTGCTATGATATTTTTCCTAAATGCCAGTTATATATAACTAGTGCATGCCTAAAAACAGCACACACATTAATATGATTCCATCTTTCTAAGCAAAGCTTAGGTGAGTTTTGTTATCAAACCATTTATAACTGTTTGAAACAACTCTGTTTACACTAACTCGCTACTTGTCATGTAAAACAAATCTTTACAAGCGTATACTGTATAGTTTATGAAAAAAAGCTCTGAAACTAGCTAACAGAAGTTTTTACTCAGAGTTTCGGAGTATGTCAGAAGTTACAGAATTTTCAGTATCGAAAAACATAAATAAACATTTTTGTCATATTATAAAAAATAGCCATACTAGTTGCAAGTAGAAAAATAAAAACAATAATAAATTTTACCGATTAATTGTATCTAAATAAGGACAATGTCGACTTCTCACATCAACATTTGTAGACGATTCACTAGGTCGACGAAGTTCTTTCAATGTTAAAGTAGTTCGAACTATATATAAAAGAAAATGAAAAAATAATATGAGACATAACACTAGTATAATTTATACTACATACATTTTTTATTCTTTGACTCATGAGTAACAGAGTCAAGTGGACGTTTTAAACTCCTTTTTATTCCATTTGTATTTCCTTGTATGGACATCTTTATTTGTTTTATCTGAAACAAAAACCGATAGTCAGCTAGTATGCGTATAAAAAATAAAATGCAGTTGTGATTTTTCTCACATAATTGTAATATATCAGAAAATATTAATGGAGACAAGAAAAAATTAGAAAACAAAAGTTTATTGTTAACTTTTATTATTTAAATGAATGAATCGATATTCAAGAGTAAGTGAAAAAAACAACAACAGTAATAAAAGCACTTGGATTTCAAAAAAAACAAAAAAAAAATAGCAAAGATGTAGTCGACAGATCTAGGATTAGATCAAAGATGCCGGCTTTATGTTTATAAATAGAGTCCCTCTGGTGTCCCTTGATTTTTACGGTATAATACCGTTTCTTTACTTTTACGAAAATCTTCGTTTGTTACTTTCATACGACGTTCACGTAATGCCATTAAACCAGATTCGGTACAAATAGCCTATAAAGAGAAATATATACGGACAATGACCATTGTATCTAGTTAAAAATTCTTTATTTAGCTTACTTTGATATCGGCGCCCGACAAATCATCTTTAGCCATAATTAATTCTTCTAAATTTACATCATCAGCCAATGTCATTCTACCGGTATGTATTTTAAAAATCATTCGACGTGTTTTTTCATCTGGTAGTGGAAACTCAATTTTACGATCAATACGACCAGGTCGAATTAATGCTGGATCAAGACTGTCAATACGATTTGTTGCCATTATAACCTGAAAATAGTTTTATATATATAAAGTAGTTTAATTTAAAATAATTTTCTCACTTTAACATCGCCACGTGAATCAAATCCATCCAATTGATTCAATAATTCTAACATAGTACGTTGAATTTCACGTTCACCACCTGAATTTGATTCATAACTAAACACAATAAATTTAAATTTATGATTGACGATTTATCTAGCTACTTTTAAAAATACCGTTTTGTTCCAATGGCATCGATTTCGTCAATAAATACAATTGATGGTGCGTACTCTTCGGCAACACGAAATAATTCACGAACAAGTTTTGGACCGTCACCCTAGATGAATAAAAACATACAGTTGTTTCTTTTGTGATCAACAGCATAATGTTAGAAAGATCATACTAAATATTTCTGAATTAATTCTGAACCGACAACACGTAAAAATGTGGCCGATGTTTGATTTGCAACAGCTTTTGCCAACAGAGTTTTGCCTAAATAGAAGCGAAATTTAAACATTTATTTCACAGATAACAGAAATCTACTCACCTGTTCCTGGCTGTCCGTAGAGGATAACACCTTTTGGAGGCTTAATACCCATTTCTTCGTAATATTCTGGATGTGTTAACGGTAATTCAACAGCTTCCTAAATACAAATTATCAATAATAAACAAAATAAAAAATTCCTTGTCTCACTATACAAACTTTAATCTCTTGAATTTGTTGTGTAAGTCCACCGATATCAGCATATCTAAAAAGAACCATAGTCACATGAAATTACTTAATAAAATTAATATTTAATGCATACGTTTCTTTTGGTGCTTTTTCTAATTTCATAACAGCAACCATCGGATCAACATCATCACCTAAGACACCGATTACAGCATGAACCTAAAAAGACGAAGAGAAATGGTAATAAATGGTAGACAAAAGACTGAGTAGCTAAATACTTTATGATTCAAAAGTACAGTACATCCAGGCTCAAGTTGATCTTTATCAACAAATGACATTATCGTAACATAGTGTTCCGAACCAACCGATGTTGATACAATAGCATGATTATCATCAATTATTTCTTCTAATGTACCCACTGCCATTGGACTACCACGAATATCATCAACTTTTGATCGTTCTTCCTATAATAAACAAGAAACACATGTAACCAAAGTTCAAATATTCTTCTTTTTTTCTTACTTCATGTCGATCTTCCTGTGGTTTTAAACGTTCTTGATTTTTAATAAATTCTTCTTCTAATAATAAATAATCTTTAATTCGTTCAAAACGTAATTGTTTTAAACGACATCGAGTATATGGTAGTACTTGTGGTAGTTTATTAGCCGCTTCTGGACCTTTAACACGTTTTTTTCGTTTACCAATACGTGTCGGAATTGGTGGTTCATATTTCTTTTTCTATAACAACTGAGATTGTCATTTCTAGTCATCTTAATTAAGCAGTTACTCACTTCTTTATCTCCAGCTCCATCGCCACGCTTTTGTCCACCGGATCCTTGATTACCCTAGAATGATCAACAAAAATTATTTTGTATAGTCGAAGAAAATTAGTTAAAATATTCCTACCATTTATAGTCAATAATGATAAATCACAATTTAAATGTTTATCTAAAAAGATAGTAAAAATAATTTCAGATTCTTTCTTTAACTTTGTCTACAACACACAACATTGAATCGTGCATCATTCTCATTACAAAAACATTGGAAAAAAAGACGATGTACCATTTATTTTATCACATAAAATTAATGTTTATACAGATGTTATAGACGATAGAAGATAAACAAATCACTGATCCTTTGCATTCTATATTTTACATCACCAACTCTGACTATTGAAGAAGTCGTACGAGTTTCTTTCAAAAATTTTATATTTAGAAAAAGAAGTAACACAAACGATTACGACAATACACATGTAGAACTAAACTACCACTTTTCAGAAAATAGGTGCTCTATAATTATATTGTAAAAGGAACAGTTGTTTGATTTTAATACAATTAAAGAAGAATAAAAAAGGAAAATGATCGATACATTAGAAGATTAATTATGTGGAGGATTTGCACGATGAATATGATCTTCATTTGCAGCTGTTTGATCACTGTGAGACGGGGATGGTAATCCATCGTGTACACTTGAACGACGATGATTAACATCATCTTGAACAGCTTCTTCCCAAGATTCATGTTTAACACCATCTGATAGTTGTAGAAAACGAACATGAATTGCTTGATATTTTTCATTTTTAGGTGGCATTAATATTTTCTTGTATGAAACAATATCACCGGCTTTTGGTACATAATCATCTTCAATGCTAGAAAAAAGAAAAAGTATGTTTTTCTCATATCTCTAAAAGTCAAGATGAGAAAAATAATTTTAATATAATATACGTTACATGCAAGCAATGAGGCAACATTTTCTCTTTTATCCTATTTGTTAAGAACATATGTCACACAACAGTTGGACGTATATAATTTTTAGCTATTAAGGGTTTATGTTTGATTAGGAGTATTATGTCGAAACATCACAAATAAAAACAAAGTAAAGTATGAAACTATATATACAGCTATATTAGCTATCAAACTTATTTATAAATCGTTTCTCTTACCAAGTTAGAAGAAGGAAAAAAAACAATAATCAATGACATGCAAGCAGCAGAAATCGAGAAGAAAGTAGAGGATCACTTATTCTTCGTTACCTACGGAGAAAGATAAGGAAAACAAAAAGGTGCGTTGTACATCAGTTTTTCTTGAAAGTTATTATCTTTTAAACAATTGACTTACTCAGACACATGAACAAAAATATTATCTGAATTATCTCGAGGTTTAATATAACCATGACCTTTTTCACGACAAAATTCTTGAATTATACCTTCATGCGATGGATAGTGTAGAGCACGCTCACACCTATAAAATAGAAACAATAACAACAACAGATCAATGGCTATATTGTTCTATCATTCTCGTTTATGCTTACTGTGACAATGTACGCTGACGACGTGTCAAAAGAGGATTAATTTGAACGTCAACTGAAGGTGACGTAGATGATAAAGAAGGAGAACGAGACATCTAGAAAAATAAAAAGTTCAAACATCTACAAACAGATCTGTTTTGCGAGAAAAAAAATATTACAAAACATTTAATAACAAAACGATTCATTAAGTATGTAAATAACTAACTATTTCACTAACAATGATGTGAAGCAATATTAATTTTAGGAGTCATCATTTTTTGTTCTGAAACAACTAGCAGATAAAATTTACAATCGATCAGTCAGTCCATTTTATAACAGTGTTTAATATATCATTGATTTTATCGATTGTATATAACATATACTATTTCAAATTTTTGTTAAACAATACTAACAATTCAATACATGAAGTTGTAAAGTGTTGTTAAATTGTAATCTACGATTGTTTTTAATTTTGAAGTAAAATTATAGTGTTAAAAATACAATTGAATCAAATTTGGTACGTAATAGTAACCGAAAACCGAATTAACCTAAAATCCATTTATATTAATAAATAATAATATGTTCGATAGTAGAATATGTTGTAAAAATCAAAAACCTTATCCAAATTTAATATGAGATTCGTCGACCAGATCAATTTGACATCTGATTCTCTTCAAATATCATTATTCCCAATTGAAAATCCATGGTGATGAGTGGTGAAGCGATTTTGTACATAATAACATTGATAACAGTATTAACTTGTCTTGTATTTGAATGCTCAAGATATCACTTAATCATATTAAGTCAAAATTAATCATATGATGTGCCTTGCTACTCAAGAAACGTATTTTGTATGTGCCTGCCTTCAGCTCTTCTCAGAAAGCAGATAGGTTCATTCTAAATATCCATTGTCTGATCAATTAATTCGTCACTATCTCTAAAGATCTGAACATTTAATGAGACATAAATAATCAAATCTTCACCAACTTTCGAACTATCATAACTATTTTCTGCTGTATTACATTTTGTCAAAATTTTCCCCTATACTTGTTTCAATAATAAATCCTTTTTTCACTGTACAATGGTATGTCAACCATCGGCACCACCATATATTTTCAATCCTTGTCCATTCCACTAATACCATGATCTAAAGAAATGGCAAATAAATCGATTTAATTAATTTCTATTTCACTGACAAAAAATACTAACTAATAAACACTAAATGCAAGTAATTTTCCAAATCATTCTAATGAGCTTAATATAAAGTTAACTAGATGACTTACATCAAATGCATTAATAAATCATCTAGAATAAATAGAAACAGACTACAGCATGTACATTTCTTCGTAATCTGTGTAAAACAAGCAAAATGCAGCGGATTTATGAACTTAAACGTAGTTGTTATCATATGAAAATAAAAAATAAAAAGTATTGACTGCTACCCACATTCAGATATAAAACAGTTTGCTCAATTTTACAAGGGTGTTCGCTTATTTTTGTTCAATAAAATTTTGTTCAATATTCTGAGTTTTATTTTGTGTCAGACTTTCTTTTGTGTACTATAGAAGACTATCTAACCGAAAAATTTACAATATTTGATTACTTTTTAACAATATATTCTACTGGAAAGGAAGATATTTAATTAGATTCTAAACGATGTGTCCTTGGAGGTGCCTCTGATATTGATAGTTTTCTCTGCTGTTGTTGTGTTAATTGTTCATTATTCACTATCAAATCACTTGTTTCTAATAGATCATGTGGCATTAACGCATATAAATAGGGTAATGGACAAGGTTTACTTCTAATTAACAGAAATGACTCATTCTCATTCTTGATTAATGGTATTGTTTCACTTGTTTGTGTTTTAAACTTTACTAGAGAACGTTGTAATGCGCGACGTTGTTCAGCTAATGTTTGTCTGGCACGTGTATAATCTTTTCTTAAATCAGCAAATGTTTCACTAGCCATAAATGTATGTGGATCAGGATAATCAGGTAAATAATCGGGTACATGTGATGGACGATATTTTGTTGTTGATAATGTTGACATCTCACTATGATTAACACGAAATAATTTTGTTTGTGGAGGTTCACTAACTTTTTCTGGAGATTTTGGACGATGTTTGATAGGATTTTGTAATGTTTGTCTTAATGAGTTCACAGTTACGTTCATTAACGTTATTGCCATAGAAACATCAGACGGACATGGTTCTGTACGAGATTGAAGTTCCATCATTGTTTTAATGTTCATTATTAATTGACGTAATAATTTATACGCAACATCGAGTAGCTGATGAAATGCTGATTTTTCAATATTTTCAAAACCCAATTCATTTAACAAACATGCTAGTGACCGTTCCATCATTATTGTATATGTACTATTTAAATCATCACTCTCATCCATTATGTGTCTAAAATGAATACTGTCACATTTCAGTACATTTGAAATGAATAAAGACAATGAAATATAATAAAGTTAGTGAACAACTGATGACATCCAATTCGACACATGCAAATGAACTATTTTATAATACACAAACGAAGCAGAATTCTAGTTGATATCCGAAAGATTGAATAGTGATTCTAAGACGAACCAATATTAGATGATACTGAGATTCACAAGAAAACGCGAAGTAACAGCCTTTAGATCGAGAAAGATTCTCTCTCCATTTCACAAGTCATTCGTGAAAAATGGTGTAATGTAATATGTAAGATCCATACAATTGCAGTTCAACAAAAACCCTTCCTTCATTTAAAAGGCAAGCGGTTGTGAAAATGAAGATAACAAGCTTTATCACAGGAAGTAGTTTTTCTATTCGACTTCAGTGCAAGTTAAACTCTACACTGAAGTTTCAGAGCAGATCCGCATTTCATCGGAACGGAATTTCAACTAGCTACCTTCGAATTATTTACTCAGTCTATTCACTTCACTGTTTCTAATAGGAACCTGAAAGAAAACGTGCATGTTCAATTTGTATTCAAATTCATAGCGTATAAAATGCACAAAAACACAAAATATGCCGCTGGTTACAGGGAAAGAGAAGAAGAAGATCGTTACCTATTATTTGGAGTTAATCAAGTCAACTTATAATACAAAATAAAAATCTATACGCTAATGCTTGCGGTCGGAAGAAAAACTTTCAGTGGCGTTTCTAGTATTTTTTTGTTCATGTTATATATAAAAGTAATAAAACACATTAACACAGACACAGTGTAAAAATCCCGAACAAGAAATCTATGATGGATTCAGTTATTATTCTTACACTATCCCGAAATATTACGGTAAATGTGTAACAATGTAATGCTAAAATTGTGAGAATATTATCACACTGTTAGCATTAGATAGTTACACATTTACCGTAGCATTTCGGGACAGTGATACTCACATTCGACAATTATTACACTCATACAAGACATGCAAAACGAGTTTTCCATTGGTATATTTGACAGCTAGTAGAACAAATAGTCAAAAGATGTCGCACATTTATGTCACAGAATAAGTTATATCAGGAATTTAATAGAATTGATTGTTTGCATAGGTTCCTACGTACACATACGAGAGTCTTATCACCGCATTTCAAATTTGCTAAAATAAAGATAAATGTAATTTGTTGCATCAACCTTATGGGAGTAATCGAAAAGTTTCGCAGTGTAATAATGTAACAAACTTAATTTTCCATCATCTTATTCAACGTCCTTTCTAGAATTTACCATTCATTTTATGCTTTGTATCATAATAGGTACAGATCGGTGCTAAAAACCGACACAAAGATATACTGTTCACCATCTGTAACTCACAAGAAACAAATCTATACTTATACAAATAAAATAATAGAAGTTTAGTATGTTTTTGTATCATATCTGAAATGTTTATTACTCGAAATTTTCGATTTTGAGTTGTTTAGTTTTCTCTTTCGATCTGATTTATCTACATTGAATCGTAGAGGTGATTTATTTTGTGAAATATCAAATTGATAATTGTTTTGACTATCTTCTGTCGAGACTGGTGTGCTTGCTAAATTGAGTGCGCTAAGAATATTTGACGTATCTGTCTCAACTGTTAAATATTCACCGGATTGTTTAGTGTTAGTTAAATGTTGAACTAAAACGAATTGTTTTGATGTACACCCATTATTCGCGCTATTATTATTATTATTATCCAAAACTAATCCCAATGAATTGAGTAAGTGACATTCTTTATTATTTTTACAATACTGTTGATTATCGGACGATGGAATATTGCATATTTCGTGACTGACTGGAAATTTATTTGATTTTAACAAAGATTCAAATTGTGAATGTTTAACTTTTTTCAACGAAATATTATGTTTCTTCGTGGAATAAGATTTTGTTGATGGTAAATTGTCCCAGTCATAAGGTCTAAATAATTTTGATTCCGATTTGATTTGAGACACATCAATAGTCTTGATCTGGTCAATATTAATATCATTAATTTTGAGTTGATTTGATGTTTGATGAATCTAAAAAATTGATATTATCGTTTTACAGATCTCATTATGAATTTTTTTTCTAAAATATATCAGAATAATCGAAATTTTCTAGTCATCTCGAGGCAAGTCGATAGAAAAAAAAATACAGTACCTGAGCTGTTGGAGAGCAGATTGGTTGTTTCACTTTCGATTTATCATTTTCTTCGTCTATTTCATTTATAGTTGTTGTTAACTGAGCTCTAAAACTGTATTTTAGACTACTTAACTATCATCATTCCGTTATCCTAGAGATCAAATCTTATATAGGATTCCCATAGGAATCTTATAGAATCAGATAACAATCTTGTAGAAATCTTGTAAGAATCTTGTGCTACAGTCGATAGAAATGCTTACTGCGCTCTAAAAAATAGTCGTAGATTAATAAACTATCAAAAAGGGTTTATGGAGGCCAAGAAACCCTTTATGATAGTTTATTAATCTGTGACTATTTTTTAGAGTGTGTGCTTATAAGATTCTTATGTGAGAAACTTATAAGATTCCTATAAAAATTCTTATAGTGAACAAGAAAAAAACAAAAAAAAATTGTTTTTTTGTTGCCTGGCGGATGAGAGCAACAGAGACCAAAACGGGTCGGGTCGCCCGGCGGGTGTAGTCAGGTCGAGTCCGGTCGGGTTCGGGTCAAGGTAAAAGATATTGATTCGAGTCGGGTCGGATCAACTCACGTTCGGATTCGGGTCATATTTGGTTGACCCGTTTCGGTTCAAACTCAGATCAGTATAAGAAAAACTGCCTGAATTACTCAAACTTTTCCACTCATAAAAGGAAAAAATTACAGAAATCATTACAGGAATCTGACCATTCCTTTGAAAAAATTTCAAAACAATCTGACTAAGATAACTTTTCTGTAGGAAAGAAGTGTTTCTTTACGAATGTGTACGAAAACATTTTCATGTTTCGGCTATACCCAAACGTTAAAAAAAAAATCTAGTATCGCCCGATTCATTAGATTACTAGATTTTTACTCGCTTGCAACTATTGAGTGACGACAGTGAAATCGATTGCTACATTTCATCTAGTTGCAACTATCGACCTATCGTTCGATAATCGATCGATTTAACTACTGCTAGTTGCACATGCAGACTCATCTAGTTAAAAGTCCCTTTTCCAACTAGTAATCTAGATGACAACTAGTCGTGTATCGCTCGATTACAGACGAAATATATCTAGATTTTTCTCATAGATGATGTTTACCTGGGTACTTCGGATCACAGTGGAAAATTTTCGTGTCCATTCGAGTCGGGTCAGGTTCGGATCGAATCGGGTCAACGTATAAGATATTGATTTGGGTCGAGTCCCGGTCAACTCACGTTCAGGTCGAGTTGGGTTCGGGTCACGTTTGGTTGACCCGTTTCGGTCTCTGGGGGGCAAAGTTTTGAACTTTTTGAAATTTTTTATAAGGCACTATAAGATTATAAGAACCTTATAAGAAAATTATAAAACTAAAATCTTACCGAAATCTTATTCAATTCTTATAAGATTCTTACATGACGAATTATATGAATTTTATAATTACAGTATGCATTTCTCACGACTGGAGCATATAAGATTTTCATAAGATTTCTATAAGATTCTTATCTGATTTCCGTATTTTCGGTCGCCTAGAGTATACTCTTATTACTGAAACATATCTGACTTCGCCGTTGTATTCCAATTGGTTTGTGGCACAGAATAGGATAATAGATCTGTGTGACAAAATAAACTTGTAGATCGGTAGTATTCGAGTGGATCAAAGCACCTTGGACAAAAAAATTACAAGATAAAGAAGACGACACGCATCGCCACAATGCCTTATTTGTTCATCAACATTATATTAAATGAATCGTTTGCTATACCACCGTATAGTCTACAGACACAACGAATGTTGTCCTTTTTTCCTAACTAAAATAACAACAAGATTTTCTCAGAAGTTCAAAAAATATTTGTCTAAAACTTACTACGAATGGAAAGAAACAAAAATTTACCTCACACAAATACCGTGACAATAATCCAATAGTACGATTATCGTTTCGAATTGTTGTTAATGTGTGTGGATGTAATAAAAGAGGCGTATAAACATTGTCTGAAAAGTTGACAACATCGTTTCTTCGTTTCTCTCTTCTTTGTTCTGCTAATTTTTTCAATGCATCAGTAAAACTTCCCGGTCCTATGTATCGACTCATTTGCCAAGTGTCGAATGGAATATTGCTGCTCCTTATCTAAAAATAAAATACAACAGAATGAAGCACACGTCCAAATGATTTGCTCCAATTTATGTTCGATATTGAGAGTAGACAAAATATATCTTTATCAGTGATTTTTCTGTTAATGTTGTTGTGCTATAGTAAAAGATTCCTTAATTTTATATCAGACTAGAAAAGAGAGAATAGGTGTTATTTAATTATTTAATTATTTAAAGATTTCCATCGCCAGCGGAGGGCCCAACCACAACCAAATTTGCGTACAAAAAGCTTCTAAGAAAAAGCTAAAGCAAGTTTTTACGGCGAGCATCTCCACAAAACTGGGACGCCTTCGGCGGCGGCGCGGCGCACAGGTCTAGTTGGGCGTTGATCTCGTTTACAGATCAAATGCATAATAAGTTAATATCAAAAGGGCATTTTTATGAATAAGAAGACTAAAATTTTATCTAAATCTTGCCCTTAGATACGCTTTCTAATTAAAAGTACTCTGCTGGTGCTAATGTCAACTTGTTATAAAACGGCATTTCGCAAACGTTTTTAGAGAACATAATTCATTTTGAATTATTTTCACAACTCAGAAATCGTGTCCTGTTATATGAAGCAATGTACATACTTCAGTAAAACTATTCCAACTACGGAACTCATTTAAACTACGTGTACTGTTAATACCTGTTAATAATGTACGTTATTGTTTAATAGGTTTCTTTCACAGAGATTGTGTGAGCAATGTAATCATTCTACTTATAAAAATATTGAGCTTTTGCCAACATATATAATGTAGGTTATACATGTTGTATGTATTTGCGTTCTTTTTCCTGGCCATAGGAAAAAAAAGAGTTTAAAGTTTAGATTCTAAGTCTCATTATCTAGTTTTTAGGTGATATGAGTTGAACTTGTATTAAATATTTTAAAATTGATAACGAATTTCCAATCTTTCAGTAGAACAAAAAAGGTAAGCATTGAAATAAAAAAAGAGCGATGTTTTTCAATCTGGTATAAAGATTAGAGCTACAAAAATAAAAAAGAAACAAAAGAAGAAGAATCATCTTTTTGCTTACAGTCAGTTAATAGATAGACATACCTGGTTTGCAGATAGATATTGCGCAAATGACAGTATTGAAAACAGGTTAAGAAGAACATTTCGAAAGGCCCCCATTTTATAGTCATTATTTTTTTTGTTTAACAATTCAAAATTTCGAACACTGATCAATTATATTCAGTAACAAATTATGATCAGTATTCCGATTTCCAGAAGAATTATAAATTCTCAATGATTAGTTACAAAAAAAATAATCAATGAGTGTCTGTTTCGATAATCGGTTCCTTTTGAGAACAAAGAAGAAATAAAATAAAAAAAATTTCTAATGACCTTTATACGTTTTCAGATGACAGCCAATCATAAAGGCAAATTGTTAGTTATGCACACTCCTTTCTCTCTGTGTTGTCGAATTGTTACAGGCAGAATTGTTCATAATTAGTTGTTACAAGAGCAGCTGCCAAAATATTGAACAGATGGACAATCAACTCTTATAAATACACGAAAAGTTTCTAAGTTAAAAAGACATTTTAGTTCTAATTGTGTAGCTTATGGCGCCGAATCTGGACTTAGTTTTGAAAAAAGAACATGCATTGATCAATCTCTAATGCCGGGAGATTGTCCTCCCGTTTTCAGACGTTTTCTACGTAGCGTAGTACGCTAGATCACGAGGTGCACATTTTGCTTAGAAAATCCGAACGACAGAAAGTAGATAATAAACTCCCTAAGCAAAATGTTTTTGGAAATTCTTATGGAAATCTTATGCGAATCTTATAATAATCTTGTATACGAAAACGCCCGAAAGCATATCACCGGAAAAAAAATGAAGTTGATTTAGAGTTGTTGAAAAGTGGTTTTTCGTATTCGGCACACTCGATAATCCAGAAGATTTTCTGTTTTTGGCCCGAGGTACTTCCGAAAGTTTAGGAAAAGTTTTCAAACTAATATTATTTTTCCATGGAAAACTTTTTGCGCCCTTTANACCCCGGGCCAAAAATAGAAAATCTTCTGGGTTATCGAGTGTGATGAATACGAAAAATCACTTTTCAGCAACTCTAAACCAACTTTAGTTTTTTTGTTCCGGTGATATGTTCCAGAATTTCTTAAGAGTCTTATAAGAATCTTATAAGAGATTTGTAAGAACTTCGTAAGAAAGTGATAAGCCTTTTCGCGTTATTCTTATTTATCTTGATGTGTAATAATGTTCAATTTTATGTTCAATAAACATAATCAGAAAAAAAATTATATATACCCCTCTACCGCTAGTCTACGGGCAGTAGAGCCTTAGAACGAGTGGTGAAGCTACCTTTCTAGAACCAAGGTGTCATCATAGAAAAACGAAAAAAATTGTTCTCTCCTTACGTCAACATGTTGAGCAGCTTTTCCAGATAAGATGTTTACACTGCGCATGCGCTATGTCATTCATAGACAATTTAGTTATCATGCACATTTATGTAAATGACAAGTAAATAAACGCGGTATTTTAGTGTATCGAACTTTTTTACAGTGTAGCTGATATTTTCAGATCTGGTACTCAATGAATATTTATTGCGTTTCGTTTATTAAAGAAGGGGAACGATTAGAGTACTTAAAAGTAAAATAAAACGTCACGGAGAACACAGAAAGAAATCATTTTACGCACCAATAAAGATGATTTATCCGAATTACCAAAGAGTCAGAATGTTTGTATAAAGCACAAAAACGTAAGAGAAAAAATCTAGATACACTCGCTGGAGTATCACCCGATTCTCCGGCAAAAGTATCTAGATAAAAGAGTAAAAGATATCGGGTTAGCTAGATACATCAGGTTTGATCCGATAGCATGATACAATACCTGCATCTAGTGAGAAATTATGATTGATAAAAAGCAATATGAACTAGATACATCTAGCGATTAATCGTACTATTCATACAGCTGTTTAAAATATATCGACAGATACAAAAAGCGATGTAATGAGTTTTAAATCGAGATGAGAAAACAAAAAAAAAAGGAACAGAGCTCGTGCAGAGATCTGAACTCGAGATTTCGGACTCTATCACTCTAACCGCTGAGTTAAACCCGACGGTTAGTGCTTCAAAAATACGACAATTAAAGAGAAAAAACGGAAAAGAAATTGAAATAAATCTTTTAAATACACTAAATGCATCAAACACAAACGCTGTTTGATAGATTTTCAATGAGTTCTTTTTGAATAAAGTATTTTTGGACCTAATTTGCACTAATAAAATCAGCTTTTCGAGTTCTTTCTAACTGCTCTATAGAATTTTTTTTTAGAGCCCCCCACCCTCAGAAATTATCTTCGACACCGTACATCCGATCTAGACGAAACTTTCCGTAAATGTTAGGCACAATGAGTTACGGGAATGAAAAACGTTTTTGTCCCCAAGTCTTACGGTTTAGAAGTTTTCCAGAGATCAAGGTCCAAAAAGGACCCTGAAGTGCGTTTTAATATCTTTTTAATATACTTACTTAAATTTTTTAATATACTTCAAGCTGGAGAGTTCGGGTTTATTTTATTTTAAACTAGACACCTAACCACATGAACTGACCGGCGCCCATTTTTCAATTAAGCCTTTATTGGTTTTCCAGGTAACCAACAACCTCCAAAACTCGAAAAAGCCTTCCGGACTTTCTAAAACTCCTCAGTTTGATAAAAAACCAAGACCTAATTCAAAAATCGACACCGGTCAGTCCATGTAGTTTGTTTTCCTCTTTTAAACAAAAATAGAATGAACTCTCCACGACAAACCGCTATTAAAAATCTTGGGACGCACTTCAGGTGTAACTCTTATATAGTGAAAACGCTGTATGAAATATTCGATTTTAGAACTTCCAGGAAAATGCCTGTAACTTTTTGATGCAAGGTCACACAAGGCTGTGCGAGGTCTTATTTTGATCAGAAACGTTTGTTTTACAAAGTTTTGTGTTCAGAAAAATTTTAGTTGTATAAGTATCCAGGAAAAAACTATTATTTGAAGACCCGGTTTTGCGAGGCGCTTAGAAAACTTGCTGAAAATCCCCGAAAAACCAGTTTTGTAACCAAAAGCAATACAGATTCTGGAAGTAGACACTTCAGGCTAACTTTCCGTGTGCGTATCTCAAAACCGATTTTTTGACCGAAAATCACCATTTCTGGGGGGGGGGGGCCCTTAAGTGTAAAAGGGCAGATTGGCAGAAATGCACCTTCGTAAGGCTCTTTTCTTCTTTAGAATCTTTTCAAACTTTTTCCAAGGAAAGACTTTGGCATTGAGTCGATTTTCCATATATAGCAAACCGATAAATGCGTTTACCTTTGATTTCTAATCTTCAAAACGTTGAAGAAATCAAAATTCAGCTGCATCGTTTAACCCAGAGTTATAACCGGTCCAGAAATACTAGACCGGTCCGGTCCGGCCGGTCTAAAAATATTTTCAGACCGGTAAAAACCGGCGAGTTCACCAAGTCTTTTCAGGTAATAAAATTGATATTACGGACAAAATTTTTGTTCTGAACACCTAGAGAAATTTGGGAAGAGATTCACTATGTCAGATAATAAAGCCAACTAGGACGAATTTGCATATCAGTTAGGAAGCTACAGTATCGGCATATCGAAAGTAAAAAATTGGATTAATATCAAAGAAAAAAGATAAAAACATATAAACGCCCAATACGTGACAATGTTTCGATTGCTACGATAATATTTACAGTAATATAGCAGTAAATAATATGACTTTATTTTTGAAAAAAAATAGAATTTACATTTCAAATAAAACTGTCGTTCTTTCTTTCTTTTAAAATAACTACTAAGCAGACATACATAATGTCTTTCTGATGAGAAATGAACGAATATGCACAACTTTGTGGAATCGGCAAAAACTGGTAAAAACGGGGCGGTCCAGCTGACTTAATCGGTTACAACTCTGATTTAACCACCTCCTTACAACTTATTTACAGCCAGTTAACGAG